TCCAAAATGAACACGTCAGTTCCAAAAATGGATGCGATCACGCAGAACGACGACCAAAAGTGTCCTTAATTCCGCGCCGTTCCATTTGCTTGTCACGCATATCCTCAAAACCTTATACGTCCATTCGTAAAACGTAACATGTCCATTCGTGTCACGAACGTCCGATCAACAAGCGATGTCATGAAACGATGCTAGCAATGCCTGCAGGCATATCCTCAAAACCTTATACGTCCATTCGTAAAACGCAACATGTTCATTCGTGTCACGAACGTCCGATCAACAAGCGATATCATGAAACAATGCTAGCAATGCCTGCACTCCATGCACAGGTGTCTTATACTGCACCGTTGAGGGGACTCCTACTGCACCGTTGAGGGGACTCCTACTGCACCGTTGAGGGGACTCCTACTGGCCCCAGAACGCCATCCTCCCATTCTGAGGTCAATCCAATCGCATTGAACATCAAGCATGTTAGATACAGACACTTTTCGTTTGATATCCAGTCCCAGCAATGTTTCCCCTGCGGACTTAAGTCGGCCTCCTCCCTCCCATGACGATTAAAGAAAACAACAAGTTGGCACGAAAACCGAGTCAAACTGTCAATTCCAGAAAAGCACAAGGTGGTATTTTGCCTTCAGTGCGATACCTTTAGAGAACTGAGAAAACTCCAGCCTATCCACAACATGATGCACCCACCAACAAGGAGCAGAACACTTGTGCGTTCCCCAGAATCATCCGGACCAGAAAACATTCAGAAACTACCCGTCTCCTTATCTCATCCTTGAACAGCGATGTCAACGCTGTCTTTTTACGCGAAAGGTTTGGCACGACTGGAAGGACTTCCGGATAAGCTGGAAAGACTGATACTAAGGCCTTCTCGCACATTCGACAAACAGCAGTGAACAAATGGTATTCAAACGTTTGAAACCATTTCATACAGCCGTTTTCACGGCAAAGTTTCCGTTAAGGTTTCCCTTAAGAAAGCAAATAGTCAACCTGCAAAGACGCTCCACTACGGAAATACATCAATTACCAGCGACAAACAAGTGCAGGCTTGGATTCAGAACGTCCGGAACGGCCACAATGAGACCTTCAAACACACTTTTTTAGTTCCAGCGCCAAGACCAATCCAATTACCAGTTAAATGGTTCACCGAATGCCGCTAACCAGTTCGTCGTATCTTCATGCCTGAGCCGACGATAAAAATACAGCGCCATCGGGCATTCCACGATCAAGATACACCATTCAACCGGAGGTCGGCTATGGTCGCTCACACGCTATGTGAAGCATAATGCTTTGAAAACAGCGGCGAAATGTATCCGTCAATAACTAAACGATGAATCAGCAAATGACAATATGTCTGCCAACTGTTTCGATGGAAACGTTTCGGCCCGTGAACGAATGTTGTTACTACTCTTATACCCCTACCTTATACCCCTTATACCCCTTAAACTACTCTTATACCCCTACCCCATGCGCAACGTAACTTATGGAACGCAAAACAAAAGCAAGCACATTTTAAACCGAGACAAGTTAATCCGCAAAAGGCTTGGAATCTACGCTGACACTGTCACTACAAAGCGATCCAAAGAATAAGTCATCTGAGCCCCCATTTCTAAACACACCTACCCGATTCTATTCTGAGGGCTGCACTAAACGCAGGCGGTTAAGCCGGACGGTAGCACGTTCCTTGCTGAGCATCAGGCTGGAGCATTACTTACCAAGAACATCAGACACCACGACCATTGTACAAACTCGCGAGCATACCGTGCATTCAACTTATCACGTCCGAGCACCCAATACACGGTCCTGCTAAGGGCTGCCCGAAACACAGGCGATTCAGCCGATGTCTGTTTATACAAAACCATAACGATGACTTTAACCTATATGTATATATATATATATATATATATATATATATATATATATATATATATATGGCTGTTCAGCATTAGATGAAGTTAACCAATGTCTTACGATTCTAATATTTGGAGGCCCGCGTTCTTTTCACATGTTGCTGAAATTTATCACATAAAATTGAGATTCTTGTACTTTGCTCAATTGCTGCATGTCGGTGTACGATGTTTTCGCATAGTGGTGTGTGCACTCTCCAATACGCATCATCAAAGCGCTCGTTAAGGCAATTTCGAGCGTTGTTTCTCCTACAGCAAATATCGCCAGGCAGAGGCTAACTGATACACTACATACCTTGTCCCTCCGTCTGCATTTTCCTTTCATTCCGCTAACACATGCACAGACAGCATATCCTCCCCCAGCTTAACATATAGGGGTCTCCCCAGTTGCTGGCACTTGCTTCGGACCACAAGCTCACGCCAACCCAAGGCATACAGAACGCGCGATCGCACAGCGGCATTGGTCCATGTTTGGACAGCTCACCATCTACAAAGAAGACCTTTACATATACCTAGTTCGTTTGCTGCTTTTCTGCAACTTCTTCGCGAGCCCGATGTAGCGTGAAACTGAGAACGTGCAATACAAGTGGTGGACATCACCCGGTGCTCCGCGTATGAATTCTCACGGAAGAGGAAGCAAGTTTTCGACTGTGGATCAGAAAACACACACACCGCTCTCCGACTTCATGAGATAAGGACCGCATTTAGCATCTAATCTGGACTTCAATGCATGAATTTCTGGGATCAGATCCCACCCTTCAGCAATGTTTGAGTGAGCCCTGAGCCCAACCACCCTTAGTGCGAGGCCAGGTCAACGGCAGACTTTGGTGGCGAACGTCTAACATTGGTGCCTCAATGCTCCGCACGGTCTCTCTTCTAACGTCACCCGATCTGCATAACGCGGCCGCCGCCACCGGCCGCAGGCCACACCTGCCAAGAGCAAACAGCGAGCGCCTAACGCGACTCGAACCCACCACGCCACGAGTGCGCTGGTTGGGAGGCAGGTGCTCTGACCTACTGAGCGAGGAAGATTTTGAGCTTGATACTCGTGGTGTAAGCCAACAACTTTTCACAACGTATTGATTTCAGTAATTTTTTCCACACGCTTGGTATGACTGTGCGGTGGCGTGAAACAATCGCAAATCTGGTTTGGTCACATTCTGGGAGCTAAGGTGGCTCGTTTCCTAATTATTTCTTAGTGACTGGTTGTTTATTTTATCGGTGTTGTGCATGGTTGTTTGGCTGTTGAACCTGGATATGCGGTGAGATTTTGCGTGCTGGGTTACCGTGCGGGGATAGTCCCTGTTTATCCTTTCGCGGCGGCTGTCCGGCCTCGAGGCATTTCCAATACAAACAAGCGTACCAGAGATCAAACAAGGAACGAGACGGTGCCGTCGGACCGCTTAGGCCAACCAAACACGAGCGCACGCCGCTCGCGTCACTGCGGGGCACAAATGGCATAGGAAATGGGCGTGCATAACGAGAGCAGGCAGCGGACACGTCCGGGCAAACAGCTTTCAGTAATTCCGAAAATAAATTGTAACTGGCGTCCAGCACCACTGAACGCCGCCTCTCTGAAGCCTCTGGACATGGAACCGAGCTTTGCATTACCACAGCGCATGGAGCGGAAATGCGAGGAAAGGGAAGGGAACATCAAAAGAGATATCTAAGGCCTACGATGGAGGCACAGCAGAGAAGCTCAACAATGAGGGCAAAGACCTTAATAAAACGCTGTGCAGTCCTCGCATTGGCTACATGAGCACCCTCGCCTTTATAAACGCACCATTATGGAGAGCGCACACAGTAATGGGGGGAGACATCGCAGTCCGACTCGCAGAAGTGGACCATAGTGCAATAAATGCCAAAATCATCATACAATTTTAGTGACAGCTTACGATCATGCAGACCACAAGATCTTAGCATCACTACGCATCGACAATTTCGTCCGGAGCTGAACGCATAAGTCACGCTGAGTGCAGGTTTGAAATAAATTGTTTAGGTGCAGGAAGTTAGGAAATAGTTCTCCACTTGTAATGACCATCGATGCCAGCCGGCAAATTTCGTTCTACTCTGACGCTGGGATAGAACGGCCATCGTAATATTTCGGTTGAACCGCCGTGTTCCGCCGCTCCCATCAGCACCGTGTATTGATCACTGGGACGCGCAAAAGCTGAATACCCGGTACGTCCGTGAGATTCGTACAATGGACATGGTAAGTAATATTCTCACATGATAGAGATGATACTGACCTAGTAAGCCAGCCTGAATGATAAAGCAGATTTAAAGTTCAAATGCGTTGAACATTCGCAATACCAGAGTCTCTTGAGAGACAAGAGCATGAACTCGTGGTGACTTTGTAAAAAAACATAAAATAATCCTACTTCTGATGTGATCTCTCGATGCGCGTAAGTGCAGCTTAAAACATATATAGCGTGCACTCGTAACAGATTGAAAACAGCCAAGATGAACATCTTGCATGCTCGACATCTTGAAAAGCTCGCCGCCACATCATTGGCGCTGATCTCGTACTATAACATAATCAGTAGACTAACGGCGACAGAGAGGAGAGAGAGAGAGAGGAGAGAGAGAGAGAGAGAGCGAGAAGTTGGAGGGGAGAATCATGGCGAGGATCTAGAGAGAGAGAAGAGAGATAGAGAGAGAGAGAGCATGAGAGCAGAGAGAAAGGAGAGCAGAGAAGAGGAGAGAGAGAGAGAGAGAGAGAGAGAAGAGAGAGAGATGATGAGGGAGAGGAGAGAGAGAGAGAGAGAGAGGAGAGAGGAAGACACAGAGAGAGAGAGAGGAGGAGAGAGAGAGAGAGGAGAGAGAGGAGAGAGAGAGTTGAGAGAGAGAGAGAGGAGATGAGAGGAGAGGAGAGAGAGAGGAGCGAGAGGATTTTGTGAATCCTGTGCATGTATAATGTGTGTGTATATATATATATATATAAGCATACATGCACCAAGCCTTAGCCCGCCCCACCTTTGCGAACTGTCGTGAACCACTGCATGGGAGCGAATATACAAGAGGACCGGTTGCCCCACCTGGAGGGGAGACGTTTGCAGACACCGAAGGCGGACTGGCGGCTTGCTTGCGGCTCTCCTTCTGCTCCCACTCCAGCCAGGAGCCTGTCGACAAACGGCAGCAAACGCCCGTTCGGTGACAACGGCCGGACAGCAAATCACACGCGTTTAGTACACGCCAGCCGCACAGGTACAGACTATTTCGAGGATCAGCTTGGCATATGGAGCCTTGACGTTACGTTCGGCGCTACAGAAACCTTCGCAATCTTCATGGCAGATCATCGCTAATTGGGAAGAGTTATGTACTAGTTAGGTTCCCCACTAGTATCTCACTCATCCGAGTTCACCTACATCCATGCCGACATTCTGACTCTCGACTCATTCCGTTTCCAGTTTTATCCCTTTCGATTCTTCATCCTACCGCATGGCGGATTTGATGGCCATCCCTTTCGAATTTCTTTCCCCGTCAACAATTATCCCGTTGGACTTTGTGTCGCTCAACTTTTTCCATTCGCCTTAGTGTCCGGGAACCACCGGCTGCAGGCTCGGCCCGGCCACTCAGCTGCCAGGCGCACCGCCGACGTCGATCGACCATCACGGCGCGCCGAAGCAGCTTCGGCCGCCGCGTCTACACCACGCGTCGTCCGGCAACCCACCGTCATCGGACTCGAGGCGCGGCGAGACGTCGGTGCCGTTGTCGTCGGGCGGCGCCGGCGCGCCCGGCACGCTGGGGATCTTCAGCGTGAAGCGGCCGGCCACCGCCGGCGCCGCCAGCGGCGAGCACGACAGGTTGAGCGGCGTGGTAGGCGGCAGCTCCGCCGGCGAGCTCCCGCCCCCAGCGCGCGCCCCGTCGGCCGCCTTGGCGCGCTTCGTTGGCGACTCGTCATCCGGCGGCGGACGTTGCCGTACCGGCGCCGGCAGCGAGAACGGGTCACCCCAGTCGGCCTGACGGTGAACAGAGGTGCGTCGGTGAACGGCGAACAGCACAGCCCCACAGCTGGGACGGCGGGCTCAGCGGCGCAACTGTACGGCAGGAGGCAGAGGCGGGCAACGGTACCAGTGTAAGAAAGCGGAGGCGGACAACGGTACCAATGTGGCAAAGCAGAGCCGGGATTAATAATCTTTAAACATGGTCTGCGGAGTTCGTCGAAGAGTTGGGCTGTTCGGGCTCACGGTCGCGATCATGAGCTACTGCTTCACACTCTTAACTGGCGGACATCCACACAAAGGGCCGCAATGTGTTCACCCGAATACCTTCTTGCTGAATGCATCTAACTGAACCTTTATCTTGTGCACGTGTCTTTTTACCGCCGTTTTAATAAGGCCAAATGCCGGAGGCCGGACGGCCATTTGCCGTCATGTCTACTGCTAACGTGGCAGATTGACAACATTTTGATACGCTGAAATGGATATCCACCGAATACCAACTGACCAAATTGTTGTTCACTGGAATGTCAATTTACCGAAATCCTTTCTTCACTAACCTAGTGCTGACTGCCGAAAGTTTTTTTTTACACAAATGCTCATTTCCCGTAGTGCTTTCTAATTGAGTGCTAATTAGCCGTGATGTTTCTTTGTCCTTCAGACTGTTCAGTACAGTGCAATTATAAGGCGTATCAATCAACACGTCAACAGGTGCTAATTGCCCTACAATATTGAGTACAACAGAGCCAATTACAACACCTATTTTACCGTGCACAATGTCGGGCACGACCCAACATCGCACGAAAACAGGGACACCACCAAGACTTACTATTCCGAACAATTACACAAATGCTATATCCATACGCGACAAATGCTATATCCAATATCCACACGCGACACTCGAGGAATTACTCAGGTTCAGCCACTATTTAAATTCTCTTCAATAAACTATCAAATTCACTCTGGACAACACTCCCCTATCAGGGGAAGAAGCATTTTCGGATACGTTATCAAGTTCACTCTGGACAACACTGCCCAATCAGGGGAAGTAGCATTTTCGGATAAGTTATCAAGTTCACTACAGTTAACACTCCCCTATCAGGTAAAGAAGCATTTTTGGACAAATTATCAAGTTCACTCCGGACAACACTCCCCTATCAGGGCAAGTAGCATTTTTGGACAATTTATTGCCAGTTGATGTGACACTCACATATATAAACCATATTATACAGCCCCCCTCCGCTTTCAGAAATAATCGTTCACTCGTGCATCACACTAACCGATTTCAACGAAGAACAATGCCACTCGATCGGTATTTCATCGGGTTATGAATGCCATCCTTCTCAGACGCCAGCGCTCGCTCATGCCAAAAATTCGGAATCTGTTCGAAGCGATCCACGACGAGAAACACCTTGTGCGCAGATTTCACCGCGAAGTCGTCTATTCGCGCCAACGTCATCAACTATCCCGGCACCCGCGGCGGCGGCAGTCTGCATCTGGACATCTTGATACTGTTCTTACTCTTCCTTATGTCGATGAGACCATGTGCGTATAAGTGGATTTTGTTGTAAAAATATCAAAGCGTAACCTATAAATGGTATGGCAAAACAAAAACTTCTCGAAATCCGGCTCATTCGCTCGGCCTATTCTGACCCGAAGTGTCCACCTGGTAGACGAGTGCGCAGTGCGTGCAAAACAGACTGAAAGGGGAAAGGATTGACGTCTGGTGTTACATGTTGTGTTCCATGCGTTACATGTGTGGGCAAGGATGAAAATATATCTGATGTAGGGAGTCGAAACAACCAATTACACTAAGAATTAACGAGCACATAGTCGGTGTAAAAAATAAAACCACTGAAACGCCTACCGGCGACCATTGTCCAAGACTACCAAATCAGTCCAAGACTACCAAATCTCACGTGATCAATGTGATGTGATCTTTCTAATGTGATCAAATGTGATCTTTCTAAGTGTGATTTTGGGGAAAACCAGGGATCGTGTAGTCTGCGCAATACGCAAGGCTGAAGGGGACTTAAGCGGCTGGGGAGGCGAAACCCCATGGCGATTTCGCGGAGAACTAGTCGTTCGTGGTCCAGGACGCCGCACATCGACTTCACTGGGACGCACCGCAATGTGCCACGCACCGATCCATTGGACTGGTGCACGGGGTTTTGTGGGCCGGGCAGTGTTGGGTCACGACTATTCCTTACCAACAATCGCTGAGTGTTCTGTGAAGGGCTATGTCCATCATTGTGACTACCCTGGTCCTGTTCTTGCGGAGCTATGTCTCAATATACCTGGTGTCGGGGTGGTGAGGTGCATTGCCACTGTGTCGGGATCAACTGTTCCCCTTCTTGCCAGAAACGTGACTTCTGGACACATTACTTTACCCCAGCATTCTCAGACCTGTGAATTAGAGGTTAGCTTTCAGGAGCAAGCGGAGGGTGCCGGTAGTGTAGTGGTGAACACGTCTGCGTTAACCACCGCGCGTCTGGGAAACCAGAGGTACGGGATTCGATTCCCCGTGGTGCCCGCCCTTCCCGCCAGGGTGAGAGGCAGGCGACGCCATATAGCCTCAGCAGCTGAGTGTGTCGTTAAGCCCCAATCACACACACACACACACACACACTCAGGAGCAAGCGGCTGAGCCTCATCCTGAGCTGAACGAGGCTGTAGGCATTAAGTCCATGGTTGATTTGTCCAGTGCTGATCTCGCATATTCGCGGCGACAGGTCTTGTTCAAGGTTTTGAAAAGGCACAGCAGTGTGTTGACGGCCATTTGGGCCACACCACTCAAGTGACCCACCGCATTGACACAGGAGAGCATCCCCCGACCCGTCAGAGCCCCCACTGCATTCCTCCGCGTTTGAAAGAGCAAGTTTGGACACAGATGGATCAATTAGTCAATGAGCGCGTTCTCGATAAATCTGAACGTACCAGGGCTTCGCCCATTTGTCTTCTGAAAGAGAAGTCTACAGAAATTCGTATCTGTGAGGACGTGCGTAAACTCATTGCGTGTACTGCCCGCGTACCCGAATCCTCTTATGGATGATACTTAAGATGCATTGGCTGGGTCCTTCCTGTGTCGTATACTCGACATGAACGCAGCTCACCACCAAGTGTCAATTGATCCGGCTGACCGTGGTAAGGCAACCATCACTACCCCGCTAGGAAGCATAAGGTACAGGCGTATATGCTTTGGACTGAGTTAGGCGCCGTTTACTTGTTGCAAGCTACTCTACATCGTGCTTGGTGACATGCCGTCCGAGTCTTGCTTGCGTTATTTCAACGACATTATCATTCATGGCAAGCCTTCCCCAGACGTCCTCACAACGCTGGATGAGGCCCTCCTCAGCCTGCGTGCCGCAGGTCTCACGCTTAACTTGACGAAGTGCCAGTTTTTCATAAAGAAGGTGAAATCTCTCGGTCATGTGATCTCTGGCCTGGGCATGAAGACTGATTCCGAAAAATTTCAGAAGGTGAGTGACTGGCCGCAACCGCGGATAGCCAAGGACTTGCCCAGTTTCCTTGGGTTTTGCTCTTGCTTTCTTAAATGTGAAAAATTTGGCTCCCATTGCTGCTCCCCTTTTACGCCTCACAGGTAAGGGCGTTCTGTTTCAGTGGCCATCAGAAGCCGACGAGGCATTTGTGAGTCTAAAGACGGCTCTCACAGAAGCTCCGATAGTTGCTTTTCGCCGGTTCGGGGACGGGGCAGGCAACTTCACATTAGACTGTGATGCAAGTGACCAGAGCATTGGAAGCGTTTTGCTGCAGGAACATGACATCGAGCGTGTAATTGCCTACGGCAGCCGTCACCTGTCCAAGGCTCAGAAAAACCACTACTACTAAAAAATAGCTTTCACCGTGTGCTGTTTTTGTTCAGGAGTTTTCTCATCATCCAAAGGGCAAGGATTTCAAATTGCGTGCTGACCACAGTAGCCTTCGGTGGCTGTATTATTTCCAAAGCCCCACCGATACGCTAGCTCGGTGGCTTGATATCCTCGGAAATTTCCATTTTCTCGTGTTTAGTGTTTATCGCCCGGGCGTGCAGAGCTCTGTGGCAGACGCATTCAGCAGGCGACCGTCTGAGCTGGAGAACGTCGCTCGCCAGACGGAGAGCTGTTTTCGAACCTCTTCCCGCGACTGGCCTCTCAGCTTAACCCAGAGCAAGCAGGCGAAGGACGAGGTGCTGGTGGAGCTGTCACGCTTGTTGACTTTGGGGCAGTGCCCCGCCCGGCGTGCCGTCTCCAGTGCCGTCAAGCCATGGCTGCGACACCGGCCGCGGCCGCCGCTTCTTGACGGTGTGCTCTTCCGAGTATATCTTCGTCGGCCGCAGGCTCAGGAGAGCTTGCAGGTTATCATTCCGCCAGAGTTGGTCGCGGAAGTACCCACATCCCTCCGCGCCGGTCCCTGTGGTGGTCACTTCGAGAAAGAAAAGCTGTTCAAGAACGTGCAAAGCCGGTTCTTCTGGCTAGGCATGTCGGCTGACGGGGGAGGTTTTGCTACCAGTGTGACCGCCGCACCGGCCGTAACTCTCCTACACCACAGCCGACGGCATTTATGGGCGAGCTGTATTCGTCCAAGTCCTGGGAAGTGGTATCCATGGACTTTCTTACAAGATCTTCTAACCACGGCTAACGGTAACAAACATCTTTTGGTTGCATCGGATCACTTTACTCGGTGGGTGGAAGTGTTTCCTCTGCCCGATATGTTGGTCATGACTGCCGCCGAAACATCTTCGCAAGTGTTTTCTCGGTGTGGGTGTCCCACGTACCTTCATACCATACGTACAAACGTACGTACCATACGTACGTGTGTGCGGCCAATTTCAGGGGTCAAGTAGGGTCAGAGTTGTGTCGCATTATGGGGATCCAGAAAACAAACATAACTGCGTTTCACCCACACGGTAACAGCCGCCATGAGAGGGTCAACAGCACTACCCTGGGGATGCTGGCCAAGTATCTGTCAGAGAACCATGCCGCATGGGATAAACATCCGCCCCTGCCTATGCTCAGGTACAGCGCCCAGATCCACAAATCACTGGGCTACAATCCCCTCTTCATGATGCTTGGTCGCGAGCCCAGGCCACCCGTTGACGCACAGACTGACGTACCGTCTGCAGCCCGCTCTAGGTCAGCAGCCGCGCATGTGGACGAGCTACGTGCGGGACTCCGTACCGCCTATCGTGAGGCAATACGCATCTCTGATGTCAGGCACCAACAGAACAAACGGTTCTATAAGCGTAACCTAAACTCTTTTCATAACATGTCGGTGACAAGGTTATGCTGCTCCGTGGCATCGCCAAACTAGGCGAGTACCATCAATTCTTTAGGCCTTGGAAGCCGGCTGTCGTTGTTGCCAAGCGGAGTGACCTGAACGTGTGAGGTCGGAGGTCGGAGGACGGTAAAATGTCGTGTGAACGTCACAATAGGCCTGAGCCACGTGCCGTCCCTCGGAGAAGACTCTATCCAGCTTCTGAACGCCTGGCCTGCTCGGTGACTGCTCCTGCGCGGTTCACCCCTGACTGCGGACCAGTCCGGAGGCGACGGCGGTGGTGTCGCTCACAGGGGAATGTCAGTTGACGTTCAGACCGGCACCGCTGCCCCGTCGGCCTGTGGTAGCCGTGAGCTGTGACCGCGGGGCATTGCAATCAACGGATTAGCCCCGTGGCGATGACGTATCTGCCGGCGAGTCCAGGATTAGTCTCCAGCCTGCGCAGGAATCCCCTGGAACACCTGACGGTCCTGGTGTTGCGGCTGGTGCCTCCAGTGACGATGCGACGGTCGGATCACAAAAAGCGACCGCCTGACCGCTGCGGCTTCTCGTTAAGGTAACAGGTTAAGGTCTGTCCGTGGGCGCCTGAATCCGCGGAGCCTTTGGACTCTTCCATCCTCTCTCGCTGTCGGATACCTGGTCGCATCGCTGCCCGTCCGCTGTCTGTAGCGCCTCTGGTTTGATGGCTGAAGGGCGTCGCATCGCTGCCCGTCCGCTGTCTGTAGCGCCCCTGGTTTGGTGGCTGAAGGGCGTCGCATCACTGCCCGTCCGCTGTCTGTAGCGCCCCTGGTTTGGTGGCTGAAGGGCGTCGCATCACCGCCCGTCCGCTGTCTATGGCGTCCCTGGTTTGGTGGCTGAAGGGCCCTCAGCCACCAATCTTGCGCATATAAACTGCCTTGTAGGGCGAGATATGTACGGCGCCTGCTGGTGTCGTGGAACTGTGTCTACGACAGCCTGTTTGTGTGTTTCTGGTCGCTCAGCTAATTGTGCTTTCTCACGTGGTTTTGCCTTGTTGTTACCTTGTGAAACATACGTTTTCTGGTCCCCAGCGATTTTGAGGAAACGATACCGCCGGCTGGGCCTTCTAGTTCAGAGTGCAGCAGAGTGTAGCGGGTCTCCACAGCTGCCTGCGTGCAGCTGACCGCATTGGTGGTGCACTGCCTTGGATGCTGGACCGGCCGGCCAGGCCGGTCCGGTTCGATCCAAGCCGCCGGCTCGGGTCACCTTGTCCGGGGCGTCGCGCCGGGGCGCAGTCATGCGGGGCGCGCGGTGATTGGTGCGTGACCATGTGACCCGTGTCGGGATCGGGTCGTCGGGCCGCGGGGAGTGGGACTGCTGGATCTGAACAGGGCGAGTGCGGAGATTCTCGGAATGTCAGTGGCCAGCGGAGCGGAAGCTTGTTGGATGTATCTCGAACCATGTCATCAGGCAATCTCGGCCAGGGTTACATTATTATGCCCACCCCTACCCCCCCCCTCCCCGGCACCCCTCGATATCTACACCCTGCCACCGAAACACGAGCTTTGCATTACTCAAATTTCATTAAGGTGCATGGCGTAAATGCCTGAGTAATACTCAATTAATTTTTCACTCATGTTATACGTCAAACCTAAATTTCAAATATAAATCTTGTGTTTTGCAGCTTTACCTGCCAACCAACGATCAGCGCCATCATTTGCCGCCCTCTAAGCTTGAGGCGTCGGCTGTCTCGCTCCAGGGCCGCTCGCTCCGGAGGACGCTAACCCGCAAGGAAATGTCCGTTCTAGCACTCCTGGAGGACGCTCACTCCTGAAAGACGCTCGCTCCCGAGGGACGCTCGCTCCAGGGGGACGCTCACTCCCGAGGGATGCTCACTCCCGAGGGACGCTCGCTCCAGGGGGACGCTCACTCCCGAGGGATGCTCACTCCCAAGGGACGCTCGCTCCAGGGGGACGCTCACTCCCGAGGGATGCTCGCTCCGGGGACGCTCGCTCCAGGGGACGATCCCACCCGGGGGACGCTCGCTCCGGGGACGTACGCTGCAGGGAACGTTCGCTCCCGAGGGACGCTTGCTCCAGGGGGACGCTCACTCCCGAGGGACGCTCGCTCCAGGGGGACGCTCACTCCCGAGGGACGCTCGCTCCAGGGGGACGCTCGCTCCCGAGGGATGCTCGCTCCCGAGGGATGCTCGCTCCCGAGGGACGCTCGCTCCAGGGGACGATCCCACCCGGGGGACGCTCGCTCCGGGACGTACGCTGCAGGGAACGTTCGCTCCCGAGGGACGCTTGCTCCAGGGGACGCTCGCTCCGGGGACGCTCGCTCCAGGGGACGGTCCCACCCCACGGACGCTTGCTCCCGGAAGATGCTCGCTCCCGAGGGACGCTCGCTCCCGAGGGACGCTCGCTCCAGGGGACGATCCCACCCGGGGGACGCTCGCTCCGGGGACGTACGCTGCAGGGAACGTTCGCTCCCGAGGGACGCTTGCTCCAGGGGACGCTCTCTCCGGGGACGCTCGCTCCAGGGGACGGTCCCACCCCAGGGACACTTGCTCCCGGAAGATGCTCGCTCCCGAGGGACGCTCGCTCCCGGGAACGCTCGCTTCGGGGACGCTCGCTCCAGGGGGGGGGGGGGAGCTCGCTCTTGGGGGACGCCTGCTCCCTAGTGACGCTCGCTCCAGGGGACACTCGTTCCGTGGGACGCTCGCGCCCGATCGATCGCGATTGCTCTGACAAACATAGTCGGACGGTGCGCGGCCCACAGCTGTCGCCCGTCCGACCCACAGGTGGCCGGCCGCCGGCCTCCAGGCACCTGGCGTCACGCCGCGCGGCATGCCATGCGTTCCGCTGGAGCTGGCGCAGTCCCACCGAACACCAATGTCAGAGCTTTCGAGTCTATTCCGGCGGCGCGTCTCCCGACTGCGGCTGAACGCGGGGACTGCGCGCCTCGCTGCCGCCCAATGTCTGCAGCGGTATTTGAATGTGGCGGTCCAGCACGCGAGCCCGGAACTGAGCGCTTACCACGGCGTCGGCGGGCGGCGGCCGCTCTTCTCGCAAGTGTGACGGGGTCAGACCCTTGATGCTCAGCGCCTCAGCAGTCTTCAGCAGGGACGGCAGAGCGCTGTTGGACACCTGCCGGCAAGAAGCAGCGTCAGCTTCGCAGGCCGCGACCGACAAAGCTAGCCAGGCTTGGCACCGTAAAACGTATGCGTTGTGTGCTTCTGAGTCGACGAATGCGAGCACAACGCACGTGGGGTGAAATGCGCCCGTGATAAAGATAGCAGTACGGCTCGGACGTGATGAGGGGCATGATGGATATTACTCGTCCCCAGCGTTCCACCCGCGTTCTATATATCGCAAACGGATGTCTGGGCCGGTGTTCCCCAATTCGGGCCGTTAAGTGACGGGCGAACTCAATTTAATTCAATCAGCCGACGAGCTCAACAAATTCTTCATTGCCGTCGGCCCAAAGTGGCCGCTCAACTTGCCGCCCAGGGACCAGGCCGTCGACCTCGCGAGCCGTCTCCCCCGAGTCGTGGCTGCCCGTTCGAGCTGCCACCCGTCCGCCCCGGAAAGCTGACAAACGCGGTCTTTAGCATGCGCGGCTCGGTAGCCTGCGGTGCTGACAGCGAGTGCATCCGTGTGCTGAAGGCCGCTTTTCCTGCGATCGGTGACGTCATCCTCCACAGCGGTAATTCCTGCGTAGTCCATTGCGATATCCCTGATTCATGAAAATATTCCCTTGTCCCCCCCCCCCCCCCCCACACACACAGTCCGGTGATTTATCCCACCATTCCAACTTCCAGCCTATATCGCTTCTCCCAGTCATCACCAAGATCGCGGAGTACGCCGTCCAACGCCAGCTCCAGTATTATCTTTCCCACAACTATCTCCTCTCAGCCTCCCAGCACGGCGTCCGTCCTCGTCACTCGACAGAGACCGCGCTGGTCTCCCGTCTCCAACCGTGCGCTCGCCGCCAGCGACAGCGCGGAGGTTTCACTGCAGCGCTTAATTGATCGCAGTTAAGTACTTGACGTGATTGATCACGACTTAGTAATCGTAAATTCAAAACTGCACGGCACTGAGAGCTCCTGGTTTCCGGCCTATCTCCTGGGCACATCTAGAGCGCATATATTCCGACCCTCCGCGCCATGGGTCGGGACGCGGGCTGACCTTTCTGTCGCTTCCCAGTATGGGTGTCTTTCAGTGGTCGGTTCTCGGACCACTGCTTTCACCATTTCTCCCCTCACGTCCTTGCATTATTTACGGCCGGCGCCAAAATACTTTAGCATGCTGACGACACTAAAGTCTTGGCGAGGGGCACGGAATACGACCTAAGGGACCTCATCTCCCGCATGGAAAACCCTCCTCGAATCGCTGGGTCGATGGTACGTGTAAATTCTCTTGACGCCAATGCAAACAAAACACAATCGATCACTTTCGCAATTTGGCAGCATCTGTGTAGCCCAACTTAGCAGAATCTGCGTATCCCAACTTAGCAGAATCTGCGTAGTCTCTCAAATATTTTCTGTCTGCTTTCTCGGTGCCACGCTAGAACCATGCGAGGTGAGAAACCAGGGTGTCACCTTCGACCGGGTCGCGTCATGGGGCACACATGTGCCACTGCTGAGCCGCCGTGGTAACGGCATTCTGGCCGGCCTGTCATATGTGCGTCACAGCATTCCGCATGCTGCCATTGCCACCTTAGTCACTGCCCCGGTTCTATCGCACGACCGACACTGCCTTTCCGCCTACAGTAATGGATCATAAAAATAAGCTGCGTCAAGGTTTAGAAAAAAATTAACATTTCCGCAAGAGTCATATCCGACCGTCACAAATTTGACCACGCGTCGGACCAGCGGAAGAAGCTAGGGTGGCTAACTGTACGACAGCTGGCGGACCGCAGACTGCTCGTCGCACCTGCGGAAGAAGCTAGGGTGGCTAACTGTACGACAGTTGGCGGACCGCAGACTGCTCGTCGCACCTGCGGAAGAAGCTAGGGTGGCTAACTGTACGACAGCTGGCGGACCGCAGACTGCTCGTCGCACCTGCGGAAGAAGCTAGGGTGGCTAACTGTACGGACAGCTGGCGGACCGCAGGACTGCTCGTCGGACCTGCGGAAGAAGCTAGGGTGGCTCACTGCACGACAGCTGGCGGACTGCAACTGCTGACACTTATGTGCCGAGGGGGAGACAGGCAGGAGATGCTGCTGTACCTCTCCAGGCCGGGGACTGAGGCCGGGAGGAGGCGGTCTGGGTACCGAGTCACGACTGCTTACAACTGGATGGCAGACGACGTCAAGCCGCTGGCCAGGTTTATTACAGGCTTGTTATAGGTTACCAGACGAGGTCAAGTCGCAGTCATCAGCTGCCCGTCGGATCTGAATGCATGCCTTAAGATCGTCTTACCTGTACTGCACTTTGTCTTCTCTGGGGATGAGAGAGAGAGAGGGGGGGGGGGGGGGGCTATTTCGGCTTTAGGGCACGACGAACGCACGGCCATGCAGCACTGTTAGCTCATCCTGTGTGCGTGCATTGCCATTTGTACGTATGGTACGGCCATGCGGCACTTCTATCTTATCCTGTGTGCGTGCATTACCATTTGTACGTATGGGTGAGCGCATGTCTTGACCCAATATGTCGTGTATGTTTTGACCTTCACCATGACTCTCGGCAGTAAAAGCCACAGGTTCGTGTGGACTGCCTCACGCCAAAAAAAACGGCCTAATCCTTGAATGGTTTGGGTTCATTTTTGAAAGACCTTCGGAACAGTTATTTTACGACGGTATTTCTCACGCGCACGGCGCCTGCCGTCTGGTGTCACCTGTACTGGCCAACGCAGTTGGGCTTTACGAAGACAACTCCAGCCATCATTGCTGCCTGAGATCGCGAGCGTGCAAGGTCCAAAACCACTTATCTTATTTGTCTCACTCGCTGATTCTGCAAAAAAGTTCCCAGGCAAACATGGGTTGGCTATTCCCATGCTTAACCTCAATTTCGATCCACCCCATTCAACATCTCTTAGACCACTTATGTTTTGCGGACAAGGGGCCCCGTTAGAGGATCATTGGGTGGCACATTATCGCTACCGGTCCAGGGCTGAAACGGTCATTAATCCCAGCGCGGGGTGTTTCCGGCTGCCATTCTGGCGACACGGGTGTACGGTCTTCTGGTCAATTCGGAGGCTCTTACTTTAGATTAGGATTCTTTAGATTGGGTTGGATTAACTTAGATTGGGAGAGATCAATCACGCCATCTCAAGCTTTATGAATATATCCTGTGGGGGCTGTAAGCAGTCATGCAGAAGAACAAAGGCTACATAAAACGACAGAATGGAGCCTTCCGTATTATAGGAGCCTCGGGTTGCCACTAAATATCCCGTCCGCCCGTGCGTGATAGTTTACGATTATGCCGCTTACCGCGTGACGCTATTGTGTCCAGTGCGCCAAACACAAATGAAATCTGGAAATTCAGCGAGTAAAAGCTAAACACAACTTAAATCTGAAAAGGGAAATGGCAGTTGGCAATGCTGCCGCCCACCTTGAACAGTGTGGGGGGCATGACTCCGTGTCCCTACCTGCTCTTACATCCATGCATTCACATGTTCGGCTTTGGTACTATTCTAAGCTATTGGGCTGGAAGTATTTGTAACAGTTACATTTATCGGCTGTAAATATATCTAGAATTAAAAACTCCAGATATCTAAACATGTAAAATCTCTAGCACCCTCAAACGTCTCTAGGACGAAAAAAGCACTAGAACATGTCTAAACCTCCTTGAAAAGCGCTCATTTCATCATCATCATCATCAAAGCGTATTCCAATCGTCCCATCCGAGACTGAACTGTGCCTGGCTTCCAAAATGTTATCTGATATTTCGTTTAAAAAGTAGCTTTCAGCGTCTCACCACTTGCCAGTTGAATCAGCCAGTTCCGGGATCGCAAGGCGATGCCTACTTTTTAATTGGTTCGGGCGACCATCGGACGATGTCGTACTCGTTTCTCATTGGTTCAAATCGCGTCATTTCTGGACCCTCCGACCATGAGTCACTTCCGATGCGCACCTTATATGGGCTGTACTATTGGTGACCGCGAGAGGCTCCTACTCTCTCAGGGCCCCAAGACGCGGAATCGCTTTCAGTTGTGTGTGTAAATGTTACGATGTGAGTGTTGGTGAGTGTAAGTGTAATAGAAAATAGAACTCCTGTTTGACAAGATCTCTCTTTGATACTCGCCAGAAGGACTGGCACGAGAGAGGTCTCCAATAGTATTAACTATCACGCAGGCAGTTAGAAATCTGCCACAGTATAATTTCCGCACTAACTGGCACCAATGTCCGACTTCACGAATCACACAAAGCGTGATTCGTGTTTGAACATTGCATTGACTGCAAAGCCGATTTTACGTGTCTAAGCCTATAAGCCTGCCTATACTCAACATGGCCACTGAGGTGGCAAAATTTGAATGACGTTTCTATGACGTCATGCATGTCTGATTGACCTTAAACTAGTCTGCAGGAAACAGTCCTTGGGGGTAATTGATGATAATATGATGACCTTGAATAAGTCAGCCAGGAAACGTCTGCACATCTTTCAAGGGGTCTAGCTCAGAAGCTAAGGGACTGTGTGCCTAAAGAGCGGCAGGGTTGTGGACTGCTCCGAAACATCTTCAAATTGGCTTTCTCAGTTTAAAACTCCGCGCAAATATGTAAAGCTCCCTTGAACTATGAGCTAATGGTTTTATACCCAGGAACATGAGGTGCTGGATCACTGCAAATACTGATTTCAGTGGCCATATAGCGTTTTTATCATGAGCACAATACAAATGAGGTGGGGGTGACGCGTGACGTTTCTATAACGCCATACACGTCTGGATAACTTTCAAACAGGTGTTGCGAGATGGGCTGTACATGTTCGCGCGCGTCAAAGTCAAAACAAGAGGGCTTGAAGCCTTAAAAATGGTCATTCCCCGCATGAACTGCAGCAAATGATACTGTTTGATCAGGTCAGTGACCGCCATGTGATCAGGGTAGTCGATGCACGCTTAAGCCAAAGTTATCACTATATCTTGGTTCAAAACGCCGTACAAATGTGAAACAGTCCCCTGAAGCATCCTGGGTATCTTATGACCATT